AAGAAGACTTTGAAAGTAGCAAAGGCATCACACTGATTCAATATTAAACGTAATTATGTGCAGCTTTAGAATGCTTACCGGGTCGTGCAGAGAAGACGCACATGTGATGTCCATAATGGATTATGGACGTTTTCCATTTTGATGGTTTAATGTGAAGTCTTCGCTATGTTAAGTGCGATTTCACACTTTACATTTTTTCTCATGAATAATGTATTGATTTAAAATTTGTACGCTACATTAATTCATAAAATAATTACGGAGAGGAATCATGTAGCCCTTTGTATTTCCACCGTAATTCTCGAAGTTGAAATGAATAACACAAACAGCAGCCCTGGGACAGCCGGGGCACCGCTCACCCCCAATTTCCCAAGAGTCCCGAGGAGCGCGGCCCTGCCGTCACTAAGGTTAGACACTGCAAGGAACCGGGCTACACAGTTTCTACAAGCAAGAGGCGTCTGCGTCCATCGAACATTTGCAAGGAAGTTCGTAGAAAAAGCAACCCTGTTGCAGCAGGGTGTTGCGACGGCCATGACAAATGTGTCTATAAAACCGGGAGAAGGAACATTGTAAAAGCAATACAAGGTCTCACTCAGAGACCGCTTGCGATGGAGACCAGGAAACCTGAGGGGTCACTTATCCTGAGAGATTTTTTCCCCTGTGTTTGACAGAGGGACACATGAAATAAAATACCACAGTGATACCCATTCCAATGTGTCTTTTAAATTTTTTTTTGAAATATTTTTGTTTATTTATTTTTAGAGAGAGGGGAAGGGAGGGAGAAAGAGAGGGAGAGAAACATCAATGTGTGGTTGCCTCCCACGCACCCCCTACTGGGGATCTGGACTGCAGCCCAGGCATGTGCCCTGACTGGGAATCAAACCAGTGACCATTTGGTCCACTGAGTCCACTGAGCCACACCAGCCAGGGCTAAATGTGACTTAAAAAGGGATATATGAAGAAGGGAAGGGTAGTTTAGGAATGAAGGACAGGAGGAAATAGCATAAAGGAGAAACTTACCGTGATCTCAAATTACTTATTTATACTTTTCTGTACTGAAGACCGTGATGCCTGTTGTTCAGCTAGGGGAGCATGTCTCGGGGTCTCGGAGCATCCACACGGGAACAAGAACTGATGAGCTCCATGGCCAGCAGCACTCAGGGAAAATCCTTCCGCCCTGGCTGTTTAGGGCCTTTCTCATTATCCTCCAGTTCTCTTGCACCTTATACCTTCCTGCATCTCTCTCCTTGCTGGCCTGTATTCAAGGTGCCTCTTGTACGGGGCCAGCTTACGATGACCGAGAATGTCTTGCCTTCTCTGATTTCTCCAAGCTACGACTTTAAGGAGCCATGTTTTGTAAGCTGTGTTCTTCACTGTTCCTGTTTCTATCGCCCAGTTCTCAGGAAGGTCCATCCTCTCTAATGCACACTGGGGACCGTGGACGCCCACGGCAGCCACCATTTGCTGGGGGTTCAGTTCTCCCATGGCACCGTCCTGTCCTGTCTTTGCGATGCTTAGTCCTCGGTGTTCTGTGTCAAACCCACTTCGCCGTGGGCTGGCTCCAGGGCTGCAAGAGCGCAGTTGGTTTGAACAGTGCAGCGGGCCAGTTCTCACTGCTAACGACAGGGATTTAAACAGCTAAGGGCTATTGTCCTCCTTCAAGAGCTGTGTGAGGGTAACACAGATGCCAAGTATCCAGACTCTTCCCACTGTTTCTCTCCTTTACTCTTACTGTGCTGGCTTTTGTTTCCAGCCATGTCACCTCATGGTTGAAGGACATTTCCATGCTCCCAGGTATTTTAAAGTCAGGCGGGAAGAAAGAGGAAGTGGGGGTGATGGTACCAGCACCCCCCCCCTTTCATCTTATTGTCTATGGCTCTCACACAGTGACTCAGACTTCAAGGGAGGCTGGGCAATGGAGATTTTTGCTTTCGCTGCTTCTATTGGAGGCAAGGGTATGGACGAAGAGGGTTGGAGATGAACATTGTGTCAGCCAACTGGTAGTGTTTGCCACAAATCTGAACCAAAGAAGTCCTCTGCTAAACTCTCTCCAATGGTCAAAAGTGACTGGCTCCATGGTGTATCCGTATATTCCACGATCATACTCCTTCTTTACTTTCATGTGGCATACCCCATTTCTTAAAAAGTTTCATTCCCACCCTGTAGGCTGCAATAGAACAAGGTTAATAATCACAGTGATACTCATTTGCTCATTAATACCTCAGCTAATGTTGAACTACTAAGTATCTATCAGGGAATGCAGTCTTCCCCAGAGGCCTCCTTGGTGACCTTGTTGGCTAGAACAAGGTCATGTTGCCCCCCTAGCTCTAAGAGGGATTAGAAAAGTATCCCCATGAACGAGGGAGTGTAGGTTGGGAATCAATACTGGGTAGATGGCCAAAAGTGTTATCAATGGTTTGCAACTTTCCTTGCACTTTTGCATCATGATTGCGTCTCCTGAGTCTGCGAGACCACCCTCCAACCACTGAGAAGCTCAAACCCAGGACAAGAGGTAGAAATGGCATCTGCAGTATGGGAACTTCTGGCTGGGAAATCATTCAAAGATCCTTTGAAGGTGAAAATTTAATGAAAGGGTTTTCATGATATAATGCATTCAGCCTTTCAAGTACGCATACAACAGCCCAAAGAGTAATAAGGAAGATTTTATAGTTTGAGAAGATAATTACATGGTGGAATGAAGGGACAAATCAGGATACCTGGGTTCTAGGCTCAGCTTTGGGTAAGACACTGGAAGAGCCTCTACTTCCTCATCTATGAAACTATGCCCTTGAACAAAGTTAGATGACCCCTAACCCCTTCTCACATATGAGTACCTACCTAATGATGATGCTAGAAGTCATGAGATAGAAGAGTATTGAAAATCATCTATTCTAACCTCTTTTTACAAATGAGATCATTTAGGCTCTGAAGACCGTCATTTGTCCAAACTCACTTGTCTGAGTTAGAATTTGAGTCCTGATATATGACACACTATAATTTCACAAATAACTGATCTCCGCCCGAATAGATTTTTTTAAAAAAAAATGCAGCCTCTTCCTCTATCCTTCTTTTTCATCTTAGGCAAAATCTCTCCAATAGCATTTGCTCTGTTTAATAGAACACAGATAATGAAATAACCTCTCCGTAAAATAATAATTGTGCCTTTCTCGTGGTTTTTTTGCCCTTCTTCTTTGTTGAGGGATAGATAAAGAAGTAATCGGTTAGGAAAAGTTAGTGAAGTGAGTAACACAGCAAGGGGCTAATCCCAGCCGCCCACTTCAGGGCCCGAACCCTTCTGAGCACGGGAAAGGTCCCAGAGCCACGTCCCACGCAGGCTGAGTGAAGGGCCAGTCAGCACCTCACCATCACAATTTTGGGGGCACACGGTCCCTAAGGAGAGTAGGAGGGCGTGTCGTGTAACTGGAAGCCAGTTACTGTGCTGTCACCCAAGTCAGTGTCCAGTGTTTTGTACCAGACAACATGAATCACTTCAGTCGGGGCTTCCCAGTCTGAGGTCCAATGTTGGGCTGCCGGGGACCAGGGACCCATCTGACATTTCACTGAAACGTTTTTCCCCACCTTGGTACTGTGGACATTTCGGGCCCAATAACTCCAAGGCGCTGTCCTTCACATGCCAGGGTGGTCAGAAGAACCCCTGGCCTCTAGCCACTAGACACAGGGGTAATAACACCTGCCTGGCCACGGTCATCAAAAACAGGCCCGTCACCCGCACCAGCTGTGCGTGGGGAGCGGAATCTCGCTTCTCCCCTTCGAGAATCACAAACTTCATATGTACGTGCAGTTTTTTCCGTCTGGGAGGCTTACCAGTTGCGTTGTACCCTTACAAGGGTCTATGCCCTGAAAGGAGCCAGTAACACACAGCCTTTCAAAACAGTGATGGAAGAACGCTTGCCTCCTGTAAGTACACCATTGTGGCCAGATCTGACGGCCCGGTTTGAAAATGTACCATGAGAAACACACACCTACAAATTTATTCCTTTCAATTACCCCAAAGAAGCACTTCACAAACTATATCCGGGGACGTGCGTGCTTCAGACACGATTATTCCCCGCGGCGTGATTCTTAAAGCACTGCCTCCAGCAGCGACTTCCGCAGTATCCTACTGAACAGAGCCACGAACTTCCAAAGCGGTTAGCGCTAATGACAAAGGAGCGCGCACACACACACATACACACACACACACACACACACACACACACACACACGCTCAAGACTGGAAAGGAAGTGAAACATCAGTTGTTTCTTAGAAAAGAAAGCCAGTGGTGGCACTGACTGCAAGATTGATTGGAGGGATGGAAGGGAAGGGAAGGAGGGGGAGAAGGTGAAAAGACAGGGAGAGAGGGAGGGACAGAGAGACAGAGAGAGAGAGAGAGAGCCACATCTTGAAAGAAGTTCCCAAAGGGGCAGAGTCTTGGGCGAGGCTCTTGCTGGAGTCTCTCCCAACCTCCTCCCTGGCTGGTCTAGAAAGAGGGCTGCCGGCCTGAACCCCTGAGCCTCGGGCTGCCTATTTCTCTCTCGTTCCCACGCCCGCATTGTGCGCCCCCTCCCAAGTGACCACCTCCCAAGGGGCTTCTCGAAGCTCACTTGACCCCAGGCTTCCAGGCCCTGGCTCTCATCTGCCGGCTCTAACGGCGGGAGGCCGCTGGGACTTAGACCCCAAATACCAGACCCACAGAAGCAAACGGGAAACGCGTGCTACTCGGGAGCACCCCAGAAGACAAGCAACTTTCTCCCCGACTTCTCGGTCTGCCCGCCTCCCCCCTCTCCCCTTTGAAAGTGTCGCAAGGAGCGGAGAGCAGGAGGGGGGCTCGGGCCCGGGGAGGCGCCCCCGGGGACGGCTCCGATCCCAGCGGACGGAGGGGCGCGCCCCTCCCCGCGCTCTGGAAAGGTCCCCGCCGGCCGGCCTCGTCCCGGGCCGTTGGCTCCGGGTCCGCTGGGCGCGAGGGGAGGGGACAGGAGAAAGAGGAGGGCCGGGCGGCCGCGGAGGAGGCGGTGCGTGCCGCGCCTGCCAAAGCGAGGTCTTCGCCTCTGCGAGCGAGTCCCCGAGCCCCGCGATCCGCCGGAGCTGCCGCCGGAGACCCGCGGGGCGCGCTCGGGGCGCACTGGGGGCGGCGCAGCCGGTCCTCCCGAGGCGCCTCGGCAGCCGGCCGCTGCCCTCGCCCCCGAGTCTCCGTGGCCGTTAGGGACCCGGCTAAGAAGGAAGGACGCTCCTCCGGGCGGGGGACGTTCCGCCCGGAAAAGACAGCAAGTTGAGTGCGCGCCCGGGCCCAGGGACCGAAGGCGGCGCCGCCCGCCGGCCATGTGAGTAGAGCGCCCGGCCGCCCGCGGGGCGTGGGCCCCGCTCCCTGCTGCCCGCGGCCCCGCACCCCGAGTCGTGCCGCCCCCGGGGTCCCGACTTCCTGCGCTGGGTGCCCGCCCGGCTCCCCCAGCCCGCCGCGGCCGCCGTGGGCGTCTGCCTCCGGGGGTGGCCGCCTTCCCATCTTTGTCCCCTCCCTTCACAGGCCGGCTGGAAAACGCCTCGCTCCCTCTTTTTGGAGCGGGGACCCTCTGTGTCTTCGGGTGTGGGCGGGGTGGGCGAGGCCGCGGCAGGGGGCTGATGTACAGGAGCCAGTCTCCGTGGCCCCCCGGTGCCTTGTCCTGCTCTCGCTGATGGCCCTTGTCACCCCCACTCATCTTCCCCTGCCTCACGACCCAGACAGACAAGTTTAGCCGCTAACGCAGACGCTGACTGCAGTTGACAAGATTTAAAAAAAACACCACACTAGCCAGATCTCCCCTGGAGTGATACAGGGACTGTGCAGGGGGCGGTGGGTGGAGAGGAAGCCGCGGAGGCGAGGCTTGGGAAGGAGAAGTGAGGGAAGGGGACACTCGCTGGGGACGCTGCAGGCTGGAGTTGAGAGTTCTGGCACTGGAACTCGGGGGTGCGTGGCCTTTGTGCTTTTGTATGTATTTTGTATATGGAAAGAGTGGGAAATGATTCAGGAACTCTTTTTGAAAGGGAGGGAGGTGGTGGTCGTCAAATGCATGTGGAACTATGTGAAAGATTTTATTAATTTATCTCTAGAGAGAAGGGAAGGGAGGGAGAAAGAGAGGGAAGGAAACATGCGTGAGAGAGGGAGAGATACATCTATCGGTTGCCTGTCCTATACGCCCAGTCTGGGACCCGAACCCGCAACCCAGGCCTGTGCCCTGACTGGATCTCCAACCAGTGATCTTTTGCTTTTCCCGGAGGATGCTGAGGTGCCTGAGCAGCACCCGCCAGGGTGCAGGTGGAACTATGTGAATGACTGGGGTTGAGTGTACAGTACCAGAGAGTATGTGTTACTTTTCAATTAGACACTGATGACCATTGACCCGGAGAGACAGTTCCAGTAATTTTATCAGAACCAGTGAATCAAAACTGCAGCTACGCAGACAAGTTCTGCACCGTCTTTCCTTCTTCTGCTCTAGGAGGGGACAGTCACAGTAGAAGGGGTTCCCAAATGCCACCGGATGGGCGCTGAAAGGTCAAGAGCTCTATCCGTTCCAAGTGTGTAGATGTTCCATAAAGTTTGTTCCATTGACCGTGCTTTGCGGTTGTGAAAATTATCCTAATTATTTTACGTGGGCTCCCGCAGGGAGTTAATGCACCCAACGGGACACCGAAAAGTTAACGACAAATCATGAGCATGAACTTGCAAACCGAGCAGACAAACCATGGTGTGGTTCATTTGACTATGATATTTGGAATTGTGTTTACTGCCAATAAAAATGCTACCTAACTTTTAACGTGAGTCTGTGAAATGAATGCACTTGTAAATAGAAGTCATGCATATATATATTTTTTTTAAGTAAATAGCTGTCAGAGTTCATTTGGGAGCATTTATAGGAGATCAGGACACGGAGGTTTCAGGGAGTTTGACAAAACTTGAATTAAAGAGACGTTTATAGAGAACGTTAAGTTCTTCCCACTTTGGAAGTCTTGAGGCAAGTTTGAAGGCGTGTTAATTAAAAGGTGGGGAGCCGCTGAATTGGTGTTATCACTTCACTACAAACCCAAGACCCTCACTGTTTCTTGTTCTCCCAGGGACTGTCACTGCCCTTTCTGCAGCGGAGGGGACATGGGGGCCCAGGAAGACTGAAGAGCCGTGCTCTTCGTGGACACTGCGCAGTACAGGACAGGGGACTGTCACCCGCGGTCCCCGTCCCCAGTGGTGCGACACCTTCACCCACTCCTGCAGCCCCGGCAGCCCCAGCACAGTCCCTCTGTGTCCTCATCGCCCCGCCTGGAGAAAGATGGCATCCAGCCTGACCTGCACTGGGGTGATCTGGGCTCTGCTCTCATTTCTTTGCGCCGCAACCTCCTGTGTGGGGTTCTTCATGCCTTACTGGCTCTGGGGGTCCCAGCTGGGCAAGCCTGTGTCCTTCGGCACATTCCGGAGGTGCTCGTACCCTGTACACGATGAGAGTCGGCAGATGATGGTGATGGTGGAAGAATGTGGGCGCTATGCCTCCTTCCAGGGCATCCCCAGCGCGGAATGGAGGGTCTGCACCATCGTGACCGGCCTGGGCTGTGGCCTCCTCCTGCTGGTGGCTCTCACGGCCCTCATGGCCTGCTGCGTGTCGGAGCTCATCTCCAGGACGGTGGGGAGAGTGGCTGGAGGCGTCCAGTTTCTGGGGGGTAAGTGACTGGCTACACTTGATTTGTTTGCCGGAATCCCAAAGCAATATTGAAAATTATGTTCCCGTTGTCTACTGAGATTATTATAACTGACACTTGGAATGCTGTAGAGAAAGAGACCAAATGGTTTTGGTGATAGACAACCGGAGTCAAAGGTTTTTTACCAGAACTGCTGACCACTTGGAGAGTTCTTCATTTCCGTACGTCCTTGGACACACATGCACCATTTGCCTGCTATGTGCCACCTACGTGCGGCAGTAGCATTTAGGTCCTTTATGATGTAGCAGGGGAGACAGTTTGCATTGCATCACTTCTTGCTCTTTGTGTCCAACAGTAAGTAATTAGATTTTCTGTGTCTTACGGGAATTCTCAGGTCTTGCATGACGAAGACGTCAGAGAAAAGTAGAAAAGGCTTTTGGTTCCACATAGTCGTCTTAAGTCTGTAATTCTCCGGTAAAATCGACTCTTACCCAATCTTAAACTCTGTTTCTAAATAAGTGATTACTGCTTTAAATAAGAGATCTGTTTTATGGTAAGAACTGTGAATTTCACTACAAGGATAGCTGTAGGGCCTCAACTGCCTTGTTAGGGTTTCATTTCCCTGGGTACCCCTGCTGTTAAGGGGGAAAAAAAAGAATATTTAGCAAATGATGTGTGCTTGTCCAAATGGACTGGATAGTCTCACTAACACCAGAAAAGGTTTGATTTTTACTTGGGTTTTCTCCAACAAGTACTGCTTCAATATCTCCAGTCATATGGTTTTAATTATACTTTATATATTTTCCGCTGTGCCTTTCACCTCTATTTTTCAACCTGAAAGGCTGAACTTGTCTGATTTATAATCTGCCCTGATGAACTATGACAACCTCCATAGATAATACAGAGTGAAGGGGGAAAAGCCAGGAAAATGTGTAAAATATATTTGTAACTTCATTACAAAGGAAAAGTCTGTTACTATTCCATTTGCTGTTTTCTTCCAGTCTTCTGTGAAAAACCCAGAAGAAAACAATTAAAAATGGATAGTTTTGAGATGGAGTCTACATATTGGAGAAGCCCCAACAGCTGATTTCAGATTATTTAGTGTAAAACTTTCAATAGTGTTTTCGGTAAAAAAAAAAAAAAAAAAAAAATCTCATGATGAAACTGCAAGTGGGCAAAGTGTTGTGTTTGGAAAGAGGGGATAAAGTTGTCTCCAGTTCTGTATTTCCTCACCGGATGTAATTTTGTTTTCATCTGTTTTTTTTTCTCTGTAGTTTTCCATCTCACGCTGCCCTAGAAGGCAATTTGGGGCACTTCCCCGCCTTTCTTTATTGCCTTAGTGTTTGCATATTGACACATGCGCGTGCTACATATATTCGTACAGAAATACAGCACCGCTGCTATGAAACAGAAAAGGCCTGTTGGAAGTTGCAGTATAAATCCAGGGTTTGAAAACTTGTTGATGCCGTGGATGTTAAGAATAAAACGAATGCCAGGAGTATTTAAGTCTTTTTCGTCGAGAATACACTTGATTGGCTGTTTTGGTTTCACTTGGCTCTGGAAAAGTGCTTAGGTGGTTTCTTTTTCGCCTCTTAACGGTGCACGTTACGTCCCTCTCTTCCCCTTCATCTCAGGGCAGGGACTGCTATTATTTCTGGCAGAACAGGAAAATGCTTACAAAGAGAAATCATTTCTTATTGATTATCTTTAAACATACGATGAAGGAAGGCAACAGAAAGCGAATCTGAGGCCCATGAGATTTATGCTTCCTTCTGTAAACTGTGTATAGATTTTCTGGATGATCGTACAGAGCTAAATGCTTAACTTTACAGAAAAACCCAAGGAGAAAGACCAAGGAGGGAAGTTATATGTATATGTTTAAAAGGGACTGGCTTTTTTCTTTGTGTGTGCTCTTCATGAACCCTGGCTTGGTAAGTGTACTGACATTAAGCTAAGAGTGTAATGTATGACCAACGGTTGGTATTCTCTCACTTCCCATATATATTTTTCATATCTGTCAAAAAAAAATGTCCAAATGCAAAACCTAAGAGGGTTTTTCTGAATCGAAGCTCGTGAGGGCTCAAGGAGGTGAAGACACCCTACTGCTCAAAGTGATAGTAAATTTAGAATTAGAAGATAACTTGAATTATGGAGAAGGCTTTGGGAAGTCTGCCCTTAATTGCCGTCGTGTCATGGTAAACCAGCTGACAGAAGCAAAAAAAAAAAAAAAGCATCAAAGAGAATTCCTCCTGTTGTTCGTTTCCTAGGGGGTTGTGTTTTTATTCATATCCACTTCAGCGGCGAATCGTTTCATTTTATGAAATGTTTCCTAAGCTGGGTGGGTTTCATGAAGATCGCAGAAGCCCACCGCAGTGAGTTCTATGAGTTCCGTGAGTTCCACGATGGCAGAGGGCAGTGCCTGGGACCAGAGTCAGCACGGAGGGTACGGGGCCCTGGGGCGGGTGCTCTTGCTAAAAATGGTTCCCCCGGAGGGTTATGTTTAGCTAAAGTTAGGGCCGTTCCAGCAACAACAGGAAGCGGCAGGGTGGCAGAGTCCAGAGTCATCCTGCTTCATGCCAGCTGCCTGCTGGGTCCAGCGTGCACACATATGGTGTGGCATCGGGCAGCAGACCCCGGCGGCACTTGGGGACTAGTTAAAGGACAAAACGCCAACCTCAATTTTGAATAATCCTGCTATGGTTGATTAGAGGTTAAAATGTCACCCGTCGGCCGACAGAACAATACAAAAGGGGACTCTGCCCCCGGACAGTTGCCACCTAGGGGAGGACGCTTCCTGTGACTTCCTCCGAAGTAACTCGAACATAAACTTTGCAGGCCACCGTCTCCCTCTTATATTTTAAGTCGTATTTTTTGTCATCGTTTGTAAAAACAAGTCTGGGTTGAGTTTTTACCCCTAACTGAGTTTTTAAAAGGCGTGTTGAAAGCCTTTGGGAAATAGAAGGTATAACAAAGATGTTAGCGTTCGCATAGTGTGGGCACGTGCTGTGAGCAAGTGGAGGCTTTAATGCTGTTTTTGTTTGTCGAATAGAAAATTATGTGCTTTCCAATACTGCTGTCGTCGTTAAGTACTGTGACGGAGATGTTGATGGGTGTGTTGGTAAAACATGTTATTTACATGCTCTGCCAATGAAGCCTGTAGTAAGAACGTCGTGAAGACACCGTAAGGAAGTTCCATCCACTGGGGCCCGTGAATGCCAGCATCTGAATTTGCCGATTTCAACTCCGGAAACTGTCGTGGGGAGGCCCCGGAGAGAGTCCCAGGTTGAGAGCAATCCGCATGTGGTGTGGATAGGCGCCCCACGTGTGCAGAAGATGGGTGTCGAGCGCGCCGCAGCGGCAAACAGCTCTTCTTCCAATGCAGACACTCCCGTGTTCTAAGCAGCCGTGGGAGAACATCTCCTTGGTTGGTGGGTAGTGTAGGGCAGCCCAAGCCAGGGATGCTGACAGTTTCTCTGAGCATCACTTCCTCTGTCGCTGAAAGCATCCCTGCCTTTCCAAGGCCCCCTCACAGCGCGATCCCACCTGGGCCTGTCTTTCACCCCTTCAGGATGAGGGCCTAGGACCCCCGCCCCCACCCCGCTTTAAACCTGACCTGTCAAAGGATACGCCTCCCTTTACTTTTCTTCCTACCCAGGTTCTCTGTCAAGTGGCAGCTGAGGAATAAGATACAGGATGTGTTGGCATATTAATGAGCAGAGTGGCTTTATAGTGACAGTGTCTTAACTGGAGTCGCTCTAATTTTAGGAAACCCAGGCCTTTCTGGGCCAGTGGGAAGAGCGGGCAGGTCTCTTGCTGCACTGTCCACAGCATCTTGTAGATGCTTCATTTGGCTCCCTCTCACCTACAACCTAAGGTGCCGGTGAGTTGTCTAGAAATCCAGGCCAGTGGTTCTGAAACTCTAGCATGCATCAGAATCACCTGCAGGACTTTATAAAACACAGATTTGGGGGCCCACCCGGGAATTTCTGATCCACTAGGTTTGGTGGAGTGAGGGGACCGAAAATTCGTATTTCTAATACAGTTCCCAGATAACGCTGGTTCTGAGACCACTTCCTGTTCTCAGTTAACTGTTTCATGTTTTTTAAAATGTGACTTCTGGTAGACAGTTTACTTCCAGAACTCAGTTCTCTCTCTTAATACATATCATATACATATTATAAGATATTATATATACATTACATAATCTGTATCATATATGTTCTTTCATTTACCATTATCCTTTACCAGAAACAAGATTTTATAGATGGAGAACTAAGAGGGAACCTTAATACATCCTCTGTAGCTCTCACACAGTGGATTTTCAGTGAGGAATTACGAACTGAGAGACATGAAGACCATACTGTGGACCACAAAGTCCGGCCCGGGCAGCCCTTGGCCAGCTCAGTGAAGCCATGCACATTTGGGAGAAGTGGGATGACGAGGCCAGGAAGGCCTGCAGGAACCAGCCCGTCTAAGCTGCTGCCGCTGGGCAGGGCGATACCTGAACCAGCTTTGAATAAGGGCAAAGCCACCTGGTCTCAAACATCCGTAGGGAAGATGTGGCATTCTCACTGAATAATAGTAATTTCCAGGGCCACAGATCACACCTGCCACCACACCTGCCTGTCCCACACACACTGATAATAAAAAGGAACCTGCTTGAGATGGAGAAGGCAACAGGGTGAGCAAGGTCTGGCCAACCAGGACTGAGTGGGGGGGACATGTGGGGCAGACGGCCAATAGCCTGCGCCACACACAGCATGTGGCCTGGCTCTGCTTTTGTTAAAGGCACTGATCTTTAATAACATCTAAGGCATGACATTTTACATGGTTGTGCCTAATGATGTTTTAAAATTATATTTCCAAAAAAACCATTGTCACCAGGTTTGGGGGGTTTTTGTTTTGTGTGTGTGTGTGTGTGTGTGTGTGCGCATGTGCGCGCGCGCGTGAGAACTTGGGCTTTAAGCCTTAATTTGGAAAGTTTTTCATGGTTTTCAGACTTTCCTACAAAGCTTCCAAGT